GGGGTAGGTTAAGCAGTTAACTGGGATTTTACATCCCTAGTCCTAAACCTGCATGACGATTCATTCCCGCCAGTCAGTGCTCGTTTCTCAGGCCTAGAAGCAGCACTCCATTACATGCAGCTGCTTCATGAATGCCACCAACGATCTTGACTTGGTCCTCATTATGTCTCACTGCGATCTGCCCTCCAGCAAATCATCACATTCCCTGTGGCTCCTCCTGCAGCTTTGCTAACACTGGAGGATTGTGTGGCGTGTGCTTGCAGCACTTAGAATAGTAGTGCAGAGCTGTTCCGGCTCCATGGTTGTCTCCTGGAATGGAGACAGTTGTAAGCTGAGAAATGGACATCTTGCTCCCAGTCACCTCTGCGCAGCTAGTTTCTGCCCCACCATGCATTGCCAAAACTTCCCAAAAGACAGAGTGCTGGCTGTGCACTGGGATACCTCCCCATGGTGCCCTGCGCTATTCATTGGAACAGCCACTCCTGGTTAGTGTGCACAGCACAGATGCCGGGAGTCCAGTGTGAACTAGGGATATGAAAGTGTAACCAGGTACGCCTGGGTTTGTTGGTCAGCTTTTACGGTTACACACAGGCTCCCAGTACGCAGGGGGAGTTAGCTTATAAGCTGGTTCCCCATGTATCCTGGCTCCCCGAGAGCCAGCTGCCCCCTCCTCCCATACTCCTGCCTCTCTATCAGAGGCAGCAGTGTGGGGAGGGAGGTGCAAACTGGTGCGCACTGGGAGCCAGCTTAAAAGCCAGTCTGCCTGCCCACCATCCCTTCCCCACACCGCAGCCTCTGTATCAAGCTATAAAGGCTAGCTAAGCCAAGCTTTTTTTTCCCTAGCAACATCCAACATAGTAATCACAGTTGTACTAAAAGGCATCGAGAGTCTTGAAGATTGATGCATTGCAAGGTTGATCCACATTGTTCTCCAGACAAATCTACATGTTCATACATATCATTTTGTCCAATAAGCAGTTTTCCTTGTTTCATTCTTACAGCTAGGCCCTGGATCATCTTGCACGAACACTTGACACGTTTTTGTTTTTGTTTTTTTACCCAAGGAACTAATGTCTTCAAACTATTTCTAGATAGACACTTTTACACCTAAAAATCATGACTGTTTTTCTGTGGCAAAAGTTTAGGGGAATATAGGAAACTCTGTGTGTGATGAATAATGTCTCCCCTTTGTCTTTCCAGTCCACTGTCCTTTCTATGCTGGCTCCATCCTTTCCTATCCATTGTCTTACTGTCTTAACTAACTCTGCTGTGCTTGGGCCAGACCTGCCACCACAAGCTCAGAACCAGAACAATCAGATCCAGCTTGGGTCTGTCTGTGCACGTCAGTCTGCTGAGAAACAAATTGAAAGCCCAGAACTTTCAAGAAGCAAAAGCTGGTTGTTTGGCTGGCCAGATTAGAGCCACGCTTTGAGTGTAGGTGAAGCATGTTCATCATAAGATTTAATAACTGTTGTTTTTAATGAGAAATGTAGTGTTTTATTTATAATTAAAAAAATTAGAAAATCCCATTTAAATTAAACTGCTTTTTTATTTTAAAAAATCAGATTTTTTTTTTATCCACCCTGCCTGGCAATCTGCTCTAAAAGAGCTTAGTACAGGGCTAACAGAAGCACGTTTATGGTTTTCCATAAATCTATATATCTAGTCCCGTACCATGTGATGGGCACAGCGGGTAGTTGGAGGGAGACATTTTTCTCTGGCACGATGACAGGAATGTTCACTTCAGTCAAAGATTTTTTCCTCATCCAGAAGTTATGCCATGTCAGATGGCCACATCCATGTGAGGTGTTGTGCAGAAGTTTTGATTAGCAAAGATTCAAATTGTGTTGAACACAGAGTGCCCCGGCGGCTATGTGGTCTGTGATTTATGGTTTTAGTGCAAGGTGACCTGAAACTCAGTACTTGTGCAATGTTTAGAGTGCTGTGTTTGTATAACACTTCCGCAAACAGTGCAAAGCTGAAAAATGCTCCATCTTCAATAATATCGCTCATTTCACCTGAATTGCCTTCTGGTTGCAATGGATTGTGGCTGAGAACAGGGTTGGAGGCTTGCCAGTGACTTCCCTCACTCCCTAGGGGAGGAGCTCTGGGGCTGATGTTTGTGCGCACTGACTTTTAGAAATAGCCGCCCATTCCTTCTGAAGTGGAGGGGAAGGCTCCCAGCAGTAAGGCTGATTGGATTTCTCAGTCTGGCTTGTAGCCGGGAACGGGTAAGAGATTTACCTGCCTTGCAGGACTGCTGAGGGTTACGTGCTATTGGGAGAATGGGAAGTCCTGCCCGAGAGCTCAGCGTTTCACAGCAGAAATAAGAATACCTACAGAAGCTGCAAGATTCTCGTGGGCAACCGCTGGAAGCATTCATGCTGAATTGGAGGGAAGTTTCCCCCCCAGGTTCTGGTTATTAATTTTGTATTATGGTAACACTCATCTGTTCAAATACAGCAGTGAGCTATAGAGCGATTACGCTTCCCTTGGCACTCATCCTTGGTTTGTTCCTTCCTTCTCCAGGACTTGACTGGCATAGAGTCTATGGACCACTGTCGTCATACCCTGGAGCAGCACAACTGGAACATAGAGGTACGAGTTAGAAGTATCGGAGGGGCACTTTTCTTTCAGTGATTTAAGATGAAGAGTCTGAATAACTGTGGGTCTCTGAAAGTAGAATTTCCTTTCTTAAAGGATCCTTATAGTGGTAGGAGTAACTATAGCCAAGGCCACGTTATCAAATCCTCATGCTTACACGTCAGAAGTAATCTGCCCAGCTTCGAATGCCCCCGCCCCAGCAAGCTCGATTCCTTTGCTTATTGGTAAGACCCTGAGGTGGGCTCATTTCATTGTGGCTGTTCAATGAGCAACTCACTCTGAATGGAAATTGTGAACTGAGATTGCACCCTCCCGTCTCTAACCTGCAGGTTTTGGTCTCCAGGTGGAAGTGGGAGACCATGTAGCGGGTGCGTTCAGATCTCGCTAACGCTGGGGAGTGTGAGCAGGGTCTGAGCTGTGCTTCAGCTTGCAGCCTGTCCCTTGGAAGTGACCACGCTAGAGCGCCAGCCCCCGGGGCCCATGTGGTTATACGGGGGTAGGCCATGGACTCCGAAACTGGACCGTCAGGCATCAGCAATCCCTGTCCGTCTTCATGGCTCCCTGCAGCAAATCCAGCCCAGCCAGGTTCCTGGGGGGCTTGTCCTGCCCCCCTTGGGGTGCAATAGCTACGGGAGTGTTTGCAGCTACCGAGGTGACCTTCTCCGAGAACAGCGGCCTGGCACACCAAAGCTGGATGGCCTGAGGCTTGCAGAGAGGGATGAAGGTTGAGAGGAGTTCAGCCTGACCACTCCCACGCCAGGGGCCCGATGCTGCTATCAAAGCCGTCTTGGCTTTCTCCCTGTCCCTGGGCCTTTGGCCTGCAGCCCAGGCAGGGTCCTGTCTCTCCAAGGGCCAGCTCTTAACCCAGCTGCATGATGCCTTTCTCCCCCAGCTAGAGGCTTTGCTCTGCTGGGGCACCTCTCCTTTGCTTGGCCCGAGCAGACGTGCGGGTGCTTGGGGTTCCTGTTCTTTCCACAGTCTCTCTTGCTATGGGTTGGTTTCAGCCACCCTGTGAGTATGAGTCACCCACCCCACGGCCCCTGCTCTCCACCAAGAGCTTTTTACCCCTTCACGCTCTGTACACACAGTGCAAAGCACAGAGCGTCACCCAGGCGTCTAGTGGAATCAGAAATATTCCCCGCATTCCCACCTCGCAACAGCTGGGAACTGAATTCAGCCCCGTCACACGTGCTGTGGAGCCTAGTACTGTTGCCACTTCGGTCCATGCCTCAGATCTCTGCTCCTCTGGCTCACTTCCCGAGTACCCAGCTACACCGCTCTGTCTTCAGCCATGCCGTCCCCTGCCCCTCAACAAGCCGTCCAGCCAGCATGCACATGGCTCTGTCCCGCTCCTTAACACCCTCTGAGATCGGGACCCATAAGAATGGTCATACGGGGGCAGACCCTCTAGCCCAGCGTCCTCTCTTTCGACAGTGCTAACGAACAGAACATGGCAATTACGTGATCCATCCCGTCCCAGCTTCTGGCAGTCAGAGCTTAGGGACTCTTGGCTAATGGCCATTGCTGGACCTGGCCTATATCCCCTGCCTAGCTCTTTTAGGTACTGTTATACTTTTGGCCTTCGCTGCATCCCCTGGAAATGAGGTCCACAGACACTGTGGTGTGAAAAATACTTCCTTGTGGTGTTAAACCTTCTGCCTGTGAATTGCACTGGGTAGCTCCTGCCCTGCTGCTTGCGTTCCTGGAAGGAGTAAATAACACGTACATCCTTTCTCCACACCCGTCACGATTTTATAGACACATTCCCCTTCAGTAGTCTCTCTTTTCCGATGAGCAGACTCGTTTTTAACCTCTCCTCCTATGGAGTCTGTTTCAAGCCCCTGATCGTTATGTTGTCCTTTTTTGAAATTCAGTCTCTCTGTGGCTGAGAGCAGATGGACAGAATGGAATTCAACCTCCGCCTAGGGCTGTACCA